GATACTTTTCCATCTTACAGTCAGGTTGTTAATGCCCTGATTAAAGAAATCACTTGGCTTTGAACCAAAAGACATGTCGATGTCCTCTTTAACACCTTCCATATTTGCATATGTTTTCCCATTAAGATAATGTTGCAGCAAATGAAAAAGATGGTAATCTGATAGTGCCATGTATGGAAAATATGGTGGGGGGGGGGGGGAGAACTTTTCAACCCAACTCGATAATCTTGTGTTGTGTCAAACGTGCTACATGAGGACATGCATTGTCATGGACAAGAATAACACCTTTCCGATTGAAGGGCATTTCTGATGAAACAGAATATGGGACTCAAATGACGAATTTGGCTCATGAGTCAATTGTGGGAGGACACCTAGAAACGAAGAAGATGGCAGACAGATGTCAGACTAGGGCACGATGGACCATACATGGCAAGTCAACTACATCCAAAACCCGTGCCACTGAGTACCGACATCCACGTGTGGGTAGGAAAGAGGATCATACTAACAGCAAGTTGACTACAATCCAAAACCCAGGTCGCTGGGAACCGACATCCATGTGGGGTAGGAAAGAGGATTATACCATCTTCACTTCAAGTGCAAGAGACTGAAGGGAATCAAGACCCCCCCCCCGACTCCTGATATATTGATCCGGGATCCTGACAACCGGTATTGAAAACAAAAGTGAAACTGATCAAAGCCAGCCCAAGATCAATAACAACCTCGGAATAAGATACATCGAGGGATAGCAGAAAAGAAAGAACCTCTATCATAACCTCTGATAGAGTATAATTGAGGAAGGGATATGGACATCCATCATTCATATGTGAGAAGTTATGTTGATTAGTTCTACTCTAAATCCAAAACCCAGCTACTGGGAACCAACTCCCACGTGAGAGTAGGATGAGGGTAAATTGTGATTTTGACGTCTCATTCCCATATTTTTTTTGTTTCATACCACCACCCTACCCTCAACTGAATGGTTTTTTTAATCATTTCTATATTCTGTTTATATTTTATTATCACATTCAGGATGGAACTGGAAAGTGGTAAGGACTCTCTAACTCCACTAGAAGAAAAGAGAAGTAAAGTGTGGTGGAGAGTCCAGAGGAACATCAACACCTGAGACAGTACAATGGGTGACCTCGAAACCCTATTTGTAAAAGAAGACCATACCAATTTTTTCAATACAGACCATGGAAAGGATGGGCAGATATCCTTTTCTGCTTTTCCCATGTAGTCCATGGGTGGGTACAGTCTGGGATGGGAAAATTTATGAAGCAATTTTAATGCGAGGATAAACCTACCAGCAATCTTGTGGAACACCCCATCTCATGTGTTGCATGGCCTTATAATTATATGCAAAGCGACATGGCTTGACAGTGTGGATTAGAATGGTTAAAGTATACCTGCTCAGGCACCACTGGCCACAGAGCAAAATCTAAACAATAAGGAATAATAATAAAAAGGGAAAAAAGGCCCCTGAAAATAAAATAAAGAATAAAAAATAACTTACCCAGTCAAAATTGCACTGAAGTCTGAAGAATGGCTACAGGTGGAAGACAATAGCCCAAATAGAAATAAACCATGATCCTAAGCAAATAGTGAGAGACAAATGTATTAGGAGTAGTCCACATGCCCAATTGAAGAATTTTCTCCAGCGGAGGAAGATGAGATGACAGATAAAAGGTAAGATGGCGAATTTGATGAGAAGACACCAGGAACAAAGTATGGGAGGAAGACGATAGAGAGGAATAAGCTAATCAAATCAAAAGCCAAGCCCAATTGGTGAGGGTGGAAAGGGAAGGATCACGAACAGAGGATGGTTGCCAGGAGATAAAGAGGCAGGAATGGGCACCACAGAAGGAAGCTGTGCAGGCAATATAACAGCAAAGAGCACATACAGAACAAAGAAGTCTATCTGGATCAGGCTGAGAATAAAGGTGGGAAATGAAAAGAAGGGAAATTGGCAAAAAGGGGGAGTTACCCTCCCTAGCTGCCAGAGTTTTGGGGAGGAAAATACAATCCAGATAAAGGAGAATATATGTAGGATGATAAAAAGTATGTGAATCATCGATGGCAAATAAATCAGACCGAGGTTGAGGAAGAAATGAGGCAGACAGAAGAAGAGGTAGCGGAAGGGGAAGTTGGAGAAGCTGTGGAAGCCATGGTTGAGTCAGCCAGTAAGGAGCAATTAAAAGGACTTGACCCAGAGTGGTATGGATGATTGAAATCACCAAAGCAAAGAAGTTGAATGGGAGGATAAACATACAAGTATTTGTGAGTGAGAGAATGAGGTACTGTAGACCAAAAGAGAGGTAATTTGTGGTTGAGGAATGTGGCAGAGGCATCTATGTGAGCAGTACCCAACTTACGTGGAGGTAATGTAAGGTATCAAATACATCTTTCTGAGTACTGGTAACAGTGCCAGAAAGTGGTATACTGTGAAAGAACTTAAATGTTTTTGAAACTTTTGTGATAGATTCCTAGAGATTTACAATTATTTATAAATAAAAATCACAAACAATATAAAAATAACTAAATTATTTACCTATGAAAACTATCAACCATCTTAAGGTGAATTCTTAAGTCTTTCTTTGAGAGATGTTCCAACATCCTAGCATCCACTAAGCACTCCATGAAAGTTGATCGGTACTGAGGTAGACCGAGACTAGGAAGCCATTCATTTCCTATCCACTCATGATTCATTTCTCCAAATACTAAGCTCTAAAGAACATTAAAGCTTATCTTATTTTTATGTACAAATAAAAACATAACATGACAATGATGAGACCTCTACCAAGACAATAATAACTATTGTCTCTGTTTTATTACTAAACTAAACATGTAAACCAGATAAAATATTCGAAAAAAAGGGTAAAAAAGGTCCAATAACAAACTAAAATAATAGGTTAGATGCCACCTTCAATTAAACTGACGAGTTTGGTGCTTATTCCTAACTTTTATAAAAGTTTCTAGTTTAATCTGTCAAATCACCTGCCAGTTAAATGGAATTGTTATGAAACAATTAGTTAAAGTAATAACCATAAAAAAAACTTGACTGTTCTGAAGAATGAAATTTTGTGAAATGATATAAGCAAAAAATGTTTCTCTGGGTGTGTTGCACAAATATTTAATGTTCTCAATTATGGAAAATTTGCATCATGGTCAATAGATCTGATTTACTTTTTTGTGATGTTTTTTATGCCATGCTATCTTTAATTGAATTACTCATGCACATTAAGCTTCAATCAGAATCACAAACAAGTCACTGGAACAATTTTACTATAAAATTATTGATTTGTATGAAAACTGTAGAAAATAGTACTTACAGTTCGGATGGGCTTGGGTGAAGAAGGACTAGTAAGAGCAACCATCTCTTGTATGGCTAGACGAAGTTTCAAACGGTGGAGAGGATTACTAATGCCAATTTCTCGCTGGATTTCAGTGTCAGACAAAGCAGACATAATAGCACCACTTTTCACATTTGCTTGACAAGCTGCAACATACCAGGCTGGCATTCCCACCCAGAGCTGGAAGGAAATGTAATTTTGAAATTAAACTTCATTACGTAATGATAACTATCAAAATGATATACCCACCCAAAGGTGTAAGGGGACATAACACCTACTTCAACTTTACTACATAAAAGGAGACAAATGTAAAATATCATGCTCATATCCATCCAGAGCTGTAAAGAAATGTGCTTCCAAGTAAAACTTTTCTAATTTAAATTCGAATATTAAGTTGTCCTTCCTAATTAAGAGCTGTAAAAAGACATAACTCCAATTTAAGGTTTATTGCATATCGATATATGATCAAACTATCATACCCACTACAGCTTTTCAGGAGAAATTGCTTAAATTTAAGCTTTACAAGTTAAAAGTATAATATCCACCTATAAATTTAAGATAGCATCTGTAACACTTAAGTATTATAATATCAAGATATTATACCCAATCTAAGCTATTAAGAAGACACAACTCTAACTTAAAATTTTCCAAAAAATAAAAGCATAATATTAAATGCCCAGTAAGTGTCCTATTAGAACAGTATACAGACATACCATCAACTCCTACTTTTCAATGTGTATGTTTAATATCAATCTGCTAAATCTACCCAGAGCTATAAAAATATATTTTTACAGCTTAAACCTTTATATATAAAAGTATAATATCAGGGTGACATACACATCCATTCAAAACTGTATGGAGACATAAAGAGGGTTGAGTACATTATATTAGAACGATTTTGGAGCCTCATCATATAATTACAGTCCATGTCACCATTTCTGGTTATGCTCTTTTTCACAACCATGCTTTTTGCCAATGGCCCCTCAATGTAGTTTTCACTACAAAACACTAACACAAGGCTATCATGTTTAAAGCATACCACTTTTCTCTGCTGGCTTTCCATAATCCAGTTAGTGTATGAGGACAAAAGTTTCCTAGAACCAATTTTAACAACTTTGTTGCAAAGAAATCTGTAGGCATTACATCTTATGACTTCAAATGGAATAGCATTTTATTCTCCAGCTGCTTGATGTATGCAATAGTTGAATTGGAAGTTTAACTGGAAGCCATATATCTTGGAGAACTCACACTCTGTTGGGATCATAAAAAAGTAAGGAAACAAAGCTGGAGATATCAAAGACATTATTTACTCAAACTAGAAACCCTTATTATGGTTCCAGGCTGTTACCTAGAATTAACTTTGGTGGAGTCAAAATAGGTATTTATAGTTTGAGTAAAAAATGTCTACAGTATCTCCAGCTTTGTTTCCTTAATTTTTACAATCTCTATTTGCAGGTTTTTAAATTGCCAACTTTTATTTTCTTCTTTGCTGGCTTTTTTTATGCTCAGCTATGGGCAAAGGAATAACTGATATGGTAGCTAACTTTATACATTGAAATGACAATAAACATAGCTAGTAGCTAACTGATACACTTCATGATGAGTTACTGTAGCTATTGACTGTTTGATTGCATTAGTTTGAGATGTAAAATGTTAGGCTGCAGTTGGAAATTGTCATGGAGATTTGTTTGAGAATATAATGAGCATTTATAGTTTCTGTGTAACTCATTTTTCTCTCTCTCTCTAGATATATATATATATATATAATGTATAGCAATGGGCAAATATATGCCTAGACTAAGACAACCCTCACTAAGTGCGTATAAAATTTTACCAGTAGAAAAGCAGCCTTTTCAAATAAAACATATGTCTAAAACATTGCTTTAAATAAATTAACCTTTGTGTAAAGTAATTATTCTATAAATGTGCGTAATGAAATTTAATTTTATGTATATTGATTTTTTTTCTTTTTACTCCTTCACTTCATACATAATATAGGGGTTGGCTCCCTAAAGACACTGATTGTATAATGTACAGATCATTGAGTATCTACATGTTCAGTAATCTAATATTCATCTATTATTGGCTGGTGATTCCTGTTTTACCCTGCACTTAAGCTTTTTGAAGGAACACCAGATGTTTTTAAGAAAGCTCACTTCAAGTGGGTAACGATAACATTGGTTACACTAAAATTATGTTTTTTAGTTTATGTAAAATATAAAAGAAACAAATCAGCTTTTCAATACCCATACGACCTTCACAGTACCTTATTTAATATTTTACAAAAGTTGTTTTTGTTGTAGGTTGGCAGAGAATGATAATAATTACAAATGGCCATTTTGGGTGGATTTTCTTTTCGTTGTAAATCTAACATTCATACTCTTTTTTGTAAATTTTTAAATATACAGCCTTAGTAGTCAATAGTAAATGTTTTAAAGTGTTGTTTGAACTAAATCTTTACAATTAGAGTTTTGTGCAATTCCTATTATGAATCACTATCATGGTTCATAATACATTTTGTCATGATGTGTACTGTTACCTGGGTTACATGGACCACTTGTGCTACTGACCTGTCTTTGTGGATTCTTCCCTATTACAAGACCATGTACTTTGCTTACCAAGGAGGGGTACAGTTTGTTATAGGTCTCTTTCTGGATGGTCCTGGTGCCCAAATTTGTTCCATATTCTTTGTTTTCTAATGGTATTAACCCATTAACTACAAGGGATATTCCTGTTTTGGAAATTCTAAATCCTTGATTTGAACACATCTTTATGATGTGAGTGTATGAATATTTTCCAGTGAAGAGTGTGTACTTATACATTCCGTTCCACCACAGCTTTATATCAACTCTGGTTGTCATGTGACTTGTTGATTTGTATATTAAAAATCATCTTAATATAACATACTCAACCTTGTACTTTCAAACTATATTTTTCTTAGTAGGTAATAATAGAGATATAAAGGCATAAAATCAAGTCGCCATACCCAGCCAGTTAAAGAGAAGAACTTTAAGTCTCAGGTTTTTTAGGTAATGATAAAATACTGAGCTGGTATATCTATCCAAAGTAGCAAGGTTACATACTGTAACTCCAACAGAAACTTTACTACATAAGGTATATTACAAAATTACATTACTTTCTACAGCTTTAAGGAGAAATACCTTAAATCTCAACTTTCCATTATAAACTTATAATATAAACCAAGGGATCTACAGAGGCACCTCTAAATCTTACAGTTTTTCAGCATAAAGGTACATCACACTTCCATGCACTATTTTTAGTTTAATATGTTTCATAAATGATACATTTTGTAGCAATACTACAAAAGTGAATACTGGGTTACGTGTAAGTCTGGATTTAATAAAATGTTTTTTATTAAAAACAAAATTATTTGCCTGGAGCAAGAAGTACTGATCAGTAAAACAAATTTAGTATTCTCATGCATATGTGACAGTTTTAAAATCGGTCCTATATACAACACAAATATTCTGAATTTTGACTGAGTTCATATCACTACCTTACCAAGAATGGCGAAATAAGTGAAGAAACTTATATTTAACCTTGTAAGTTGACTGTGAAAACATCTTCAAAAATACGAAGTCATATAAATCTCATTCTGAAAACAGTTGTGCCCTTACTGTGATATAATTTTATTCCATTCTGACTGCATCAAATGACTATATGAATGGAAGTTAGGAAATAATCAGCATATTTCTATTGCTTATGTATGTTTTAGATACAGCACTTTGTAGCCCAAAACTGTTTAAAACAACACATTTAATATCACACTAAATGAAACAATCTCTTTGATTCACATGTGTATGTTAGATCATTTTCAAGAATTAAATGTCCATTTTGTGAACTATGCTCTTTTAATCTACACATACAAACCTCTAGCCATGCAACAACAGTAGGACCATTCCACAAAGCAAATGGAGTTCCAGCCTTCATAGATTCAGCCAGTAGCTCATGTCTGCCAATAAAAGATTCACAAGTTATCAAAACAAGTACTTACATTTTGTTTTTAATATGTAAAACTAAAATGGTATTCATACAGATGCTGATCCATCATTTGTTTTTAATAAAATGTGTAAAACTAAAATGGTATTCATACAGATGCTGATCCATCATTTGTTTTTAATAAAATGTGTAAAACTAAATAGTACTCATACAGATGCTGATCCAGTATTTACCAAACAATACTCACTGTTTCTAGGGTATTGACTAGAAACAAATTCTACTTATATATTTCTAGAAAAATAGATATTTCAAAATATTACAGTCACAGTTTAGACTTTTCTTCATCACACCAAATACAGTGCACTAATGTGTGTATTTAGGTCTCGTGAAATGCAGTTGTCTGTAATGCAAGTTAATAGATAAATCTCCTAATACATTATACAATTTTTTAAATCATTTCTAGGTTTTTTGGCCTTTATAACAATGCCAGAACTCAGCAGTTTAGGGTTAAGAATTATCAAAATATGCAGGAACAAACACCATGAATGTGTCCTATCCAAACTGAGAAACACCTTTCAGGTGTCAAGTGTACACCTGTATATTAAAATTCAGAATATAAATACAAATAATATTTTTAACTCGATTTCAACAATGTTTAACTTAGAAATATTTTAAAATTTAGATTTTGTCATTATGTGACAATTATTTAGTATAATTCCCAAAGAAAAGAGAAAAATGATCTGTTGAATTATACTTGTAATATTTTTACTTGTAATAGATTTCAGTTTTTACATTTTTTCTTGTCATCCCAAATATAAAGTTTATATTTCCTAAGAAACTATCATTCCTTGAAAATATAGTGATTCATGTTGTCTTTTTTTTTCACTTGATTTTCTTTCTCTATTACTGATTTTATTAGTATATAGCTATTCATTGCTACTCTCTTTTATGATGCCATAACATGTGATCTGAACAATTACTAATGAAGTCATCTTTGGAAATAACTGTATCAAAGAGATTATAATCCACCTATGTTAATTTAGTGTAAATAAAGTGGCTTGAGCAATAATCTCAAAATAATTGTTCTGGGAGTGAACAAAGGTTTCAAATGCACTCTGAAATAATCTATAGATTTAACAATTTTTATAGTTTTTTGGGCATTTTTTTCTTTCCTAATTATTAAGTATGTTTGATAGCTACAGAACTTTTCTTCTATTACAAGAAGTAAGCTTAATTACGTTTAATGAGTAGGGATGATCGAAAAATATTCCTGTGATTTAAATCCTAATCTAATGAATGTTAAATTTAAGTTCATCATAGTGAAACAACACATACTGATAAATAATGGCTGGAGACGGCTTAAATGGGTAATGAAGCAAACTTTAATATAAGTTTAACATAACAGCAAGTGTACAACGTTTCGACATAATGATGACAAAACCTTGTCGAAAAG